CCAGGAGGTCTGTATCATCCTACATTCGAGAAATACGCGGCTTCAGCTCTCGAATCACGGGGAAAATTAGGAGAGAAGAATCAAGGGAGAAACATAATTGTACTCACAGTTGATTAGTAAAAAATATTTTTCTCTTATTTTGTGATTACAACTTATTTTTCATATGTTGAAAATTAGTTGCAAATAGACACGATAGACTTGGTGCCCCAATTTGACCTTATGTACTCCGCCGCCGAAAGCGGATCTCTTCGGGAGATTAGTGATTCTGGTTTGTCACGCGGTGTGGCTGGGATGGCCTTGAGGGTGAGTTTCATTTTGCTATTTTCTTTGTTTTGTGCCATTTGCTTTCGCTAATTCTTCCCCCATTTTTTAGACTTACATGCTGGAGATCGAGAGTGCTCGTATGACTGAGACGCGGGCCGAAGTCCTTCCGAAAATGGCCACAAAGTATCGTCAGTATCGCGACAGGTGCTGTGAGATGCATGCACAGCTTAAGGCGGGCAGTAATACTCAATCCCTCAGGGAGGAGTTGGAGAAAAGGGACAAGGATCTGAAGTGGTCTATCCGCAAATGTAGCGAGCTCGAGGGGTTGCTTAGGGCCAAAGACGAGGAGCACGAGGTGGGCAAAGGGGTTGCGACGGAATGCGAGGACCTTCAGGTGAAGGTGTTGTCTTCGCGAGCCGAGGTTGAGCAGAATGCCACTAGAGTTGCCAACCTAAGTGCAGAGTGGACGGAGAAGGTGGCTGAGCTAGAAAGAAGGGTGGCCGAGTTGGAGAGGGCCGAGAGGGCCCGTGTGGCAACTTTGGCAAGGGCAGCGGTGCTGGAAGACACTATTCGTGTCCTCAGGTCTGAGTGGGAAGCCGAGAGGTTAACGGCTTCGCTGAAGGAGGCAAGGCTCGAGGAGCGTATCGGTGAGCTCGGGCGGGACGCCTCAAACCTGGGAGACCAAGTTGTGGTTCTCGAAGCCGAGAAGGCGCAACTGTCGGCTCGTCCCCCCCCCCCCCCTTTAGGAATCTGCCTCTGTCACTGTTCCCCGCCACTTGTACGAGCTATGGCTCCATGCTGAGGCCCAATGAGATATACACACGGGTTTGTGGGTGGCGAGGAGCGTTCCTGAGTCCGTTTTTGAAGATGCTTGGATTAAGGCACACGAGGCTCGTCTTACCTGCGGTTATGAACCAGTGACACCGGAGGTCGGTGGGGGTGCTGAGATTGAAGATGGGCTCTCTTCTGTGATAATGACAATTCTGACGAGGACGGTGGTGGAGATGAGGCCGAGTGAAACTTTTGTAGCTTTTTGTACTTAGCCCTTTTTTCTTTTGTTGTTGCTTGTTTTTCTTTTAATGGGGGCACACTTTCGGCCTTTTGTAAGACGTTGTCTTATATGTATATATATCTGAATAAGATAGTTGGTTTGCCTTTGGTGGCATATCTTTTGACTTTCTTTCTCATCTTTTATTTTTTTTTTGAAAAAGATCTTCAGATTTCCCCGTGATGAGTCCTTGACTTTTAGTTGGGAATTCGAATGAGGTCGAATTTAGCTCGCTGATTCGAGCGAGGTCAGATCTCATCTCGTTAGTTCGAACGGGGTCGAACTTTACTTTGTTAGTTCCAGCGAGGTCGAACTTTAATAACTTAAATGAAAGTCGAGTTTCTCTTTGGTGGTGGCTGGGGGCCATGTGGGTGTAAATTCGAACGAAGAGCGAATTGTAACCCGTTATGAGTTCGAGCGAGATTGAACTTTGGCTTGTTGACTCGAACGAGGTCGAGTTTTACTTTCACTTGGCGATGGCTGGGGGCCGTAAGAATACAACTTCGAGTGAGGTCGAGTTTTGTCCTGCCAGTCTGGGCGAAGTTACTTTTGACTTGTAGATTCGAGCAAGGTCGAATTTTGACTTGCCAGCTTGGGTGGAATCAGTTTAGACTTGCAAATTCGAGCAAGGTCGAATTTTGACTTGCCAGCTTGGGCGGAGTCAGTTTTGACTTGTATTCGAGCGAGGTAGAGTTGTAACCCGTTATGAATTTGAACGAAGTTGAACTTTACTTTCACTTGGCGATGACCCGGGGCCGTAAGGGTGTAAATTCGAGTGAGGACGAATTGTAACCCGTTATGAATTCGAACAAGGTCGACTTTACTTTCACTTGGAGATGGCCCGTGGAGTGGTAAGAAGGTTGCATGATGCCTTGCTTCTATTGGAGAAAATTACTCGTTACTACATAGTTTATGTATGTGTCAGGGTGAGTCCCAGTCTATCTAGTCCCTTCATTGTTCGTCCTGGAGAGACCGTTGACGGGACAGGCAATGAATTTGTTGCTTGGGCTTCTGGGCACCCTAGGGCTTGATTAATTCGAACGAAGTTCAAACGTGATTCGTAATATTTAGTCAGCTGAACCGGCATAGGATTGCCATGGCGAGCATACGTGCATGCTTTTTTGTGTTCTTCTGCCTGTGTTTGAGAGACTATACGTTCCATGGGCTCACCGCCCAATCCCAAGGTATGGAGATTGTTTCTTAATAATGCCGGCTTGTTGAGCCGTTTGTCTGTTTTTCGTAGTATGGTACGGTGTGGGGGGTTTTGCTCGACCGTTGCCTACGGAACGATATGGTGCGGAACATTTCCTGGCGTGTTATTTTGGTGGCGTTTGTTCCTTGTTCGTGCACCTGGGAGAATGCTCATGTTCCTATTCCAATCCAAGAAAGAAAAATAACAAGTTAAACCTAAACGAAATCGTCTGTTACCTTGACTTGATTGGTTGGCGAGGGGAGAGGGGCGTTGTAGAACGACTCGTTTTGTCCCGTACTCGAATGCGACTTCAGATTTGGTAGCTCGTGCTTTGCTTCGTCGCTAGTCGAGTTTGGGCTTCTTATGGGCTGACAACTTACTTCGCCCGTTGGGATCTCGAGCTCGAGTCCCGATTCGACCCCGTCCGAGGTGCACAAAAATAAGGGAAACATAAGTTATTCTCTGTACATACGGGTAGGACAAGCTTGTTATTTCAAAGATTCACACAATAGGCTATTGTCCCTTCCTAATAGGGAGGGGGCAATATGCATGAAGTATAGATCGGTATCTAACGTTAATATAGCAGATATGATTGTGGACGTGCTCAGTGCGTAGTGGCCATATTTCCACTTTGATAGCTCATACTCATGACGTGCCAAAACCATTGCTACAATAAGATGTGGATTTTGTATAGATATCAGACAACTTTGATTTCATGCAAAGACCTGAACTTGGTTGGTTCGGTTATTTCAAAATCTTGCCTACGAATTTCTTAAGTTGGTGTTTGTAATGAGAGGGCGAGGCTACGACAACCGGGAAGTGTAACTATGGCTGACTTTAGATCTGGAGGAAACTAAAATTTTGGCTAGAAAATCCCCACAGACGGCATCAAATTATTCGACCAAAAAGATTTAGACCTTTTATTTTACTAATTAAATAAGAAGATTTGAGGCAAATTCTAGCCAAAGATAATTTACCCTAGATCTAAGATAGAAGATGAGAATAAGCAAACATAACTGAGCATAAGATTCGACTATAACAATGATTTAATCCCATTATATAAGGAATGGCGATGATTTTCATAATATTAAATGATAACAAAGAACACATAGATGAAAAGGGTCACCGTTCTTGAACAAGGTTGACCCCTCGTACACTTTGATCCAGTGCATCTAATGATGGATATTGGGGATCTAAGCTTCTTTGCTTCTTTCTCCTTAGCAGGGAGAAAAAGATGAAGATCTTCCTTGATCTGTAAAGATATGTCTATCTCTCTCTCTCTGAATTTGTGTGTCAGCCCCCTTTCTTCTTCTTCTTCTCACTTAGTTTATATACTAGGTCTTCTCATTTACCCAACGGTCATTAGCCATAGCACCTCAGTCATTTAACTGTATTATTGATTGATCCTCTGAGGTGCCGTAACATCCAATTCGCCGTTCAAGCATTCTGAATACATGACCACGGCCGTGGCCGAGGTGCGTGTCATTATAGCGTCGTATGGATACGACTTCGGACCAAGTGACTTTTTGCAGTTCCTCTTCTCGAGGATTCTCGTCTGGTCAGATTTCAACCCATACAATAATCACGATTAAAGTATTAAATTAAATTCAAAAATTTCATTGCGCTACATCACCGAATCACCAGTGGCCAGTGCCACTTCTTGTCGAACGTTGCGATATCGAAACCGTACCGAATTGCACCGAATCGTACCGAACCAAATAAGAAAATACCGAACCGTACTAAATTACTTTGGAACGGTATTTGGTATGCACCGAATAAACAACTTTGGTACGGTATTTGGTATGCACAATTAATATACCGAATACCGAAGTACTGAATCATAATTCATAAAAACCGTATCGAAGTACCGAACGTCCACCCCACCGTGCTCCTTTCTTCCACATACTAGACGAGGAAAGGCCCGTATACGGGCCCAACATTGCAATTTTATTAAAATTATTATTTGTTGGTGTTTAGTTAATTAACTTTTGAGGTTTAACAAGCTATATATTTTAAAGTTACTTTTGAATATAAAAATATTTAGTTGAAATCATCTTCAAATAATATGGTAGATGAAGATTATTTAATTTTTATTTTCAAATTGCTTTAAGATAGTATGGGTAAATATGAAAATCTCGTAAATATCGATACTTCTTTTTGTTGTTGTATTATTTAAAAATCAATTTTATTTTCTCTATGGAAACTTCTATTTAAATAAAACAAAAATTAATAATTTTCCAAAATGAGAAAAAGATTGGAAATGAGCATTTGCACTACACAAATAATGTAATCAACACATACATAGTGCATTTAAAGCAGAGTTGTGGCTAGATGAATGTGGGGTCCATGTGTATTTTACATTTAAGAAATACAAACATGAATTTTTTATAAAATGACATATATGGCCTTGATCAACCATCTTTCCTTTTCTATATTTTCCACATCCACATATATCGCACCTAATTTTGGAAGGTTGATCAAAACCGATTTTACCAAATTGCCTCGTGTTGGACTTTAAGATAATCTCTCACGTGTGAATTCAGGGAAAGTAAAAGGCGACAATCGCAGCAAGGGGTAAACACGAATCTCGAAACAAGACCAATTGTCAAAGACCCGAGATCCTCATCATCCGACGGCTTTAAGATTATCACCTGTAAAAACTAGGGTTGAGAATTTCCCAGAAATCAAATTCTGAATAAATTCGCTCCTTCCCATCTCTTGCTCGACGAAATCATGCTATACTATTGAAACTCTTTGATTGCATTGGAGAATCAGTTTCAATGGTTCTCTCATTAGAGGACTTCCTTATTCGTGGCCGGGTACTGAAGCTGTACAGACAAGCATTGAGAATCTCAAATAGAGCACCTTCTCATGCTAGAGCTGATTTGAGGCAGATTATTAGACAAGAGATGGAGAATAACAGGAGTTGCAATGACAAGCAGAGAATTCGGTTCTTGATTAGTGAAGGATTGGAAAGAGTTAAACGTTTGGATGAGACGCTTGATATGCAAGGCCATTGATTTGACGCAGATTGTCCAATATTCTTCAATTTTATGTTCCTCTTGTAAGTTGTAAACATGATTTTGAATGCTGTTTTTTTCTATTGGAGAACCAAAACTGAAATTTTCATTCATAGGGTGTACTGCTCCGACAGCTAGTAGAACTAGAAGACAATTCTTATTTTTATGGAGGAATGAGGTTAATCAAAAAAAAAAAAAAAGTACAGTAGTAACACAAAAGAGGAAGAAAATCAGAGAGTGGGAAGGGAGATGGGGTTAAAGGCACTGCCTTTCTCATTTGGGGCACGCTTTCTAGCATTAGTTGCCGCAATTATGGTGTTGGTTTGGTCTATTCACTTTAGAGGTGGCTTAGCTTGGGAAGCTGATAACAAAAATCTCATTTTTAATGTAAGCTCTTCATCTTTGCCTTCTTTATTTTCAAGTTTATCTCTGCCCCTTTTTGTCGAATAGTATTTGACATAGATATATGGAATCTTGTTGTCTTTCAATTTCTCTACACTTGTCTTTTTTATTTTTTTGCAATCTTTATCATTCTATGTATTTAATTAATGTGGATTAGAAGATTTGGTTTGCAAAGTGATAATAACCCTTTGTAGATTGGATCATGATATGTTCAGCTGCAATGAGTTTTTAGTTACGTGATGCTAGTCGACTCTATTTGAGACGAGGAAATATGCTTTTCTTCTGGTTCTTTTTTTGATATTAAGTTGTTCCAGGAATCCTGGTTTTAATTATTAACAGGCTGTTAGCAACCGAATCTGATTAGTTTCTTCCTTTTTACGCATTTGTGATCGTTGTAAATAGAAATTCCACGCTTTAATTTGAGGGAAGTGCAAGCTGAAGTGTTTAGTGGTGTTTGCCTTTTTGGGTTGATTTAGGAAAAGGTTGAATGATATGGTGGTATTTCTCCTTTTTTGGTGTGTTCTTTTGTAGTATGTATTTTGAAGTTGACATCCATGCTTTTGATCATTTGGCTACCTACCTTTACTCTTTATGGGTAGGTATCTGTCTCTAAAATATGAAACACTGGATTAGGCGAATTAGGAGTCTGTTAATCTTGATGCAGTTAGTTGTCCAACAACACCATAGACGTAGTGATCACTACATTTCTCTTTCTAATACTAATGTCTGGGCAGCACGGTGATCAAAATTTGATTATTTTACAAATCATTAACAATGATCCGAAATGTAGGAAAGTCAGTGAATTTATTAACTCAGTGTTACACGTACCTAATATTCAATGCTCTTGGGGGAACCTTATGACAGCAGAAGCTAGAATGCAAGAGAATAAGGACTATCTGCCCTGCGGCCCTCCTACACTAATGGTGGACAAATCGTAGTTGCTTAATGTTGCTAGATGAAATTTGAGTCAAATTATGAAAATTAAGGATAATGATATTGAATTACTTATAAAGAGAAAATTAGGGGAAGATTTTTTCTTGTTATGGATTCAGCTGGTACAACCTCAACCATCACTTCCGGATTTCTTCTAGCTAAGTAGATGATAGTTTTCCCTACTTTAAGCACTACCAATACTGATGCTTATAACATCATTTTTCTTGTTATGGTATCTTCATCTTTTCTCATTTTGTTTTCTGGTTTCCAGATTCACCCTCTACTGATGCTTATTGGCTTCATTATTCTTGATCAGATTTGATATCTGAGATAGTGCTCCATCTTAATTCTCTTTTCTAATTGAAAAATGAAGGAATAATTGTTTGAGGCTTGTAGTTCTCATGAGATGAAGTTCCACATAGGTTCTTTCATGTGTTCTCTGATCCAAACAGAGTTTGGCTTTTTGGTAGGACATTTTCATAATGCTTCCTGTTTATTTTGCATTTCTTGATCTTTACCATACATAAGCAAAATAATAGCTGTTTATGACGAGAAAACACACTACTTAGAGTCAACCTTGAAAATTTTGTGGGAGATCCCACGTTTAAGGCCCTTTCGTTGCGAAAGGAATGACTTGCAATATGTCCATTTTTTCTTGCTTTGATCTCCTGGTCTATGCTATATAAACCTTTATCTGTGTTGATGTACCCTATGTTGAACGGGTGTATATATGTATGTTCACTTCATTTCGGGTTTTCATAAATTTCACATAAGATAAAAGCTCTTTTCATCATCAGAAACAACCGGATTTCCGGCCTATTGCATTGCATTACCATAACGAAAAAAAAAGAATTAAAAAAAAAGCTAACGGATTTTCAAAACATCTAAAGTTAGCAGAAAATTTACAGCAGAAAAATTTACATATTTTTACTGGATACTTGAAAACATACATATTGAGTATGTACCTATGACGGGCCTAGCTCAAGTGGCAAAGGGTGGTGGATTTGTGTCTTAGGTCACAGGTTCAAGCCCCCACACCATGCAAAACAAAGCCTGGTATTTAAGTGGAGAAGGGTAGAGGGGCGGGCCCATTATCCACCGAGTTTCGAAGGCTGCGGTTGGTCCAAAGGATCGGCCCCAGACGGATTTCTCGGTCATCAAAAAAAAAAAGTATGTACCTATGATGAGTCCATGTAATTACTAATTAGAAATATGCTGATCACGAGCTTTTTCTCATTACCTGATGACATAATTTGCAGTGGATTTATGGCTTTGTGGTGTTTTTCTACCCTGGGGGTAGTGATGCAGTTAGACGTGATTCACTTCCGTGGCATGTGCTTTTCAGGATGTTTGTGTATGTAATGGCTGTTGGCAATGCCTGTCTAGGATTCCTTGAGAAGCTTACATTCCTTGAGGTTAACGGTTTGGCTAAATATGGTTCTGAGGCTTTCCGAGTCAACTTTACTGCCATTGCTACAGTTTTATATGGGGTCTTTGTGTTTCTGACCAGTCTTTCTCAGGCAGGAGCCTGAGGATGATTATAGTTACTCTGCCATCTCATGAGTTCCACTCAACTATTGTTGCCTATTGTGTTCTATTGCACTTGGACTAGCAGATACTCTTATTGGTGCATCTACCTTTCTACTTTGCGCTTCTTGTCTTGATATCTTTGATTATCTACCTGTATAGTGGAGTATGATCCGATTTCCTTGCACTATTGTAATCATGCAGCTCCATCAATCTTGATGTGTATGTTATTATATGGGAGCTAAGATTTGTATTTAAAGGATTGTCGTTGGAAGGCTTGAATACTTCTTTTTTAACTTCTTTTTGCTCAATTGTCTGGATTTCTTTGACACTGTTGACTTCTTAGTCCATATATACCATTCTTGTGTAATTGCATAACGATACTCTTATTGCTGGTTCCTGCATCCTTGCAATTGTGATCTGTAAATATGGGTTTTCACGTGATGTAACGTGGCATCCCTACCCTACCCCCTTTTTCTTCCACAAAAGAACTCATCCTTCTTTTTTTCACAATGATGAAAACAAGATTAAGTTTTAGAATTTAATATATATTATCAATAATATAAAGACTTTTCATATGTTCATTGTAATTTTGATTTAACTTGCTGATTGTTTCTTTGGTTGATTGATTCTTAAAGATAAGCATTCAGACAACAACATGGGGTCAAAATACAAACAATGTTTTACAAAAGATCCATGGGGCATCATTTTCTGCTTAATACCTCAAAGCCTGTCATTGACATCTTCTGCTCAGCCAATACCGTATTATTAGTAGGGCCCGTATGAAGGACGTGGTTAGATGCAAACAGAAATGTAGCAGTCGTGATTGATGGAACCAAGTTGGTCCATGAATACATTAGTGTAGGGTCCATCTAATCCTATTGATGTCATTGATTACTTCAACTGCTAATACTCCAGTATTGGTCTTCATCTGTCTTTTGTATTTTGAAATAAATAAATTTATCATCGTTAGGTGCCATTATCAGGCGCTTGTTTAAGTTTTGGAATTTGTCAAGTTTGCAAATTCGGTTTTTAAATTTTTGTATAAAAGTCTGGATGTGCTAAATTTGTGAGCTCAATGTTTTCAAATGTTCCAAAACCTAAAACAGAAGTTTATAGGGATTTTTTAAAAATTTATAATAATTTTAACCATAAAATTGTGTGAACATATTCATGCTGCGTGTATAAAAATTTCTCTTCTTCTATGTTTATGTAGGTGGAATTTGTTTCATTTTAATCATTAAAGTTAGTTAAGTTTGAAAGCATATGGATGCAAAGTTATCATTTGACTTATGCAAGTGCATAATTATTATGTCTCACGTAAGTTTTCCAATAAATAATAAATTCATTAATTTGTTCGCTTTTGTTATACATAAATCCACATTTAAGTTTTTAAAGGTTATGATGGAATGGTAAATAGTCTTATATATTTAACCAAAGATCTCGAATCTAACCTCTCAAGTATAAAGTCATCTTTACCCCCAAAATGAGATTTATTGGAGCGAATCTATATTAATCAGAAAACAGATACTATACATAGATTGAAAAACTTAAAAAATAAATACATAAAACTCCTAAGACTGATAGTCCTCTTCCAAAGGATAATATGAGATTTAAGCAGCAGCGGATGTAGTGTGTTAATGATAGGTTCAACAGAACTCATAATTTTGGGTGAAATTTAAAAATAGCCAGATTTACAACTGGTCGTTCAAAAATAGCCCAGTTTCAAAAGTAATCGAAATTTAGCCACTTTTCATGTAAAGAAAAATCTGAGCGAAAACACTGTTCAAAACCCGAAAAAATACACCAGTATATTATGCTGGAGTTCCAGCATAAGTATACTTGAACTCCAGCATATTATACTGGAGTTCCAAGATAAGTATGCTGGAACTCTAGCATAATATGATGGAGTTCCAGCATAAGTACACTAGAACTCCAGCATAATATACTGGAGTTCCAGCAAGTATACTATTTAACCAAAAAATAGATTTTAGGTCAAAGCTTGAATTTAGAAGAACTCGGGTTACTGATAATCGGAAAAGAGTATATAAAGAAAGAAATTTGTGAATAATATAATCAGAAAGCAAGTAAATCAAAGTATATTCCAATAGTGTTTTTCTCGTCCTTACAGTTGTTTGTGACTTTCCCTTTTATAGTCATTTTGGGAATACAGACTTTACCTTTGTCATAATAAGACAATCATGGGCAGTTAATGACTTTAAATGTTATGTTATGCAATCATATACATTAAATACATATTCTCTAACGTTTCCAGTATTTAATACTTATTAAATGCTGTATCTGGGCTCTTTTTTGCTGTCAGATTCATTCCTTTGACTCTTCACGATCTTTGACCTTTAAATGTCTTGAATAGGTACGAACATTGAATTACTTGTATGACTGCTCGTGCCTTCTCCATTTAACTTGCTCGTATCTGTTAACCAACCTTAATTCTTTGACTGTTTGACCAGTCTACGTATCATTACATGTCACCATATATATATAAATAAATATAATTTTTCCCAATACAGATAGTCCCCCCACTTTCCATTTATTCGTCAGTTGAATATTTGGGAAGTAAATTTCATAAAAGGAGAATTTTTGTCATCATTAATGCTGTGACAAGATTGACACTTCAATGGTCACATATATTTAATGTTCTTCACACGTGTTAACTCCTTATTGATTCTGCAACTTGCACCCCTTTTTAAGGTCCTTTTTTACTGCTCCACTATTCACGAAGTATCAGTTACCATTATTGTGACCCTTCCATTACTGCGTTTTCACTTTTTGATGATTACCTATAAATACAGTTTTACCTTTTAGTTTCTTCCATACAAAACTTTTATCTCGAACACTTAAACTGTGCAAATCTCTGTTTACTTCGTCTTCTTCCTCATCATGTCTTCTTCTAACCCTAACCCTAAGAGAGTTCCTATTTTAGATAATTTTCCCAATGCCCCTGTTAGACATAGAAGGGGTGGGAGACTTCGTAGCTTAGAATCCTCTCGTGGTGGTGGTTCTGCCATGCCTTCTCCTAGCCCTGGTTCTTCCTCTAGAACTAGTGGTTCTTTTACCCAAAAATCATCTTCTAAGAGCAAGGAGGCCTCTAAACCATTACAGGAGCCCTTGGTAGAAGAGATAGTCCCTAACGATTTATCTTTTCAGCACGATAGACAATCACTTCAAACCCAAATTTCTGGTCTAGATTGTTCCGATACTTACCCCACTATGATTTCAGAGATTTTAGCTCCCATAGTTCGCAAAGATTGTCACTGGAGTAACGATTTTCCCATTGTAATCCCCAATCAAATCAAAGGATTACTTCATATATGACTGGACTCTCTTTCGTTTACACATATCCTTTTACTCTTGGGTTTAAACCAGCTATCGATCCAGTAATTCTCGATTTCTGTCGTTTCTTCAAAGTTTGTTTAGCACAGATTGGCCCGCTGGTATGGAGGGTTGTTGCTTGCTTAAGGCATCTGGCCAATTTGGCAAACGTTAATTTCACCTTTCCTCACCTAATTCATCTATACTCCCCTAGACTTTTTCGTAACGACGTCTTTACCTTAGTGGCTAGGAGTAAGAGGGTCTTGGTGAGCCCAGAAGATGATAAGGATCGTGGCTGGTATGCCCGATTTGTTGCTGCTCCCACAGTTAGTTTAGTGGATGAACAAAACGTTCCCTTCCCTAAGAAGTGGAACTTTGCACGTAAGTCTTTCATCTCTTTCGTATCTCTTTCCTTCGAGTTTATCAATTTCTTTAACTTTGTTTCCCTCTCTTTTTTTTAGCAACCATGGGAGTTGTGGAGAACATTCCCAATTTTCGTGGTTGGGTAGATAAATTTTTGAAGATCGCGCCTATGGAGGCTAGGTCTTGGAAATTTATTTCCAATCATCATGGTTGGAAAGTAAAGACTCACGGTATGAGTTTTTGTCTTTCTCATATGTAAAAGTTTTTCCCTTTATTGATTTAACTTTCAACCTTCTCTCTGTCAGGCTTTGCTATTCGAGGTGTTACTGCTGAAGCAGTTGCGGCCTCTCGTTTAGGAACCCAACTTTCCGTAGAAAGTGCTCAGGATATTCTTCTGAAAAGGAAAACCACAGACGATAACAGCTCCGACGAAGAAGAGGAGGATAGTTCCTTGGTGACAAGGCCAAGAGGTAGGAGACGTATCGTCTCTAACGAAGCTGAAGTTTCTCATCACCTTTCTCCTACCGGCCTGTTAATCTTCTCTCTGATGATGACGTTGCCACCCCTCATGACACTCATGAGTCGATTAACCAGCTTTTCGTTAGTGGTTTTGAGAGTGGTGGATTAGGACCCGTTTTGGATGAACTTCCCCTATCTTCCTCTTCAACTCCCATATCTTCAGTTCCTTCTCTTCCTTATTCTACCGTGCCTTTGGTTCCTTCCTTACCTGCTTCATCTGCTTCCGTACCTGTTCCACCTATTTTCGAACCTCCCTCTGCTGTTTTTACTTCTTCTATTGCTCCTCCTTCTACTGTCCATAATACAGAAGTGGGTTCTTCAAGTAGAAGGATTGCTATGAGGAGCGTGACTATCGAAGTTCCTGCTAACAACAACCTTTTGAGGAAATCCGGTCAGGCGGATATTTGGCTTGAACCTTTAATAGGCCCAATTGAGAAAGAAAAACTGAATAGCCATAGATGTCTGACTCTGATGAACGACATAGTTCATTCCACTTTAAAGGTATATCCCTTCTTTCTTTAATTTGTCAGAATTTTTCTATAATTCTAATTTTTCTTCCCTTATCATTTTCAGGCCAACCTTATTGGTACAGAGCCGATGAACAGAGTCTCTTTATTAGAGAAGGTGGCACGTGACTCTAAAAAGGCTGTTCTTGATTCAGAGAGAGAAGCTCGTGACTTTTAGTTGGAAGCAGCTAATTGGAAGGAACAATTTGATAGTGCTCAAATTACTATAGAAGATTTGCAAGAGAACAAGAATAATCTGGAATAGCAAGTAAGGAGCATTAACTTCAGAGCTTGCGGTTGTCAAGGCTTCTTCAAGTCAGGCTGAGAAAGAAAGAGAGCGTCTCGAGTCTTCTTTCTCAGAACAATTATCGAAGACAAGTGAAGAGATTAGAGATATGAAAGCTCTTTTAAGTCAAAAGGAAGTTTATGCTGGAGATTTGATACAAAATTTGACTCAGACCCAAGAAGATCTGCGAACTTCTGAAGACAAGGTGCAGGCCTTGGAAAAATCTCATGCCTCTCTCCAAGCCTCTTATAACTCAGCCCTGAATGAAAATGAAGGTCTCAAAAATGAAATTGCTGCTTGGGAAAGAGATTATGAGCTTCTTGAAGATAAGGTTGCAGTTGATGTAAGCTGGGCTTTTCTGAACTCCCGTCGTGATGCCTTAGTGGAAGCTAGCCAA